CCGTATTATCACGCATCAATCCGGCTTACCGAGCATCCTAACTGCAACAACCATGCCATGCCAGATCGGAGTCCCATGGAGTTAGCTCTGCCATCTGGTCAAAGTCGCGTTCACATTCGCAGCTTGATTTGCCAGCCCTTTGTTGAACGATGGCGACCCGCCGGCGTTCAACTGCATCACTTCTGCATTGGGCGGTGTCCAGCGACAGCGTTCCTGTGCTTGGTGACAGCCGGCCGCCGGCAGGGGGAGGCTGCCAACTAGCGCCCTTTGCCGGGTTCTACTCTGGACGGCAACAGCAGCCAGCGCGAAGCAGCGGCGCTCCTGCAACGGAGGGACAATCGACAATCTCAGGGTCTTCCTTCCCTGAACGGCATCAGTCAAACATGATGATGCCATACTGCATGCAAAACATCTCAGGGCAAGGATGTACTGAACTGAGGGGGACTGGGCCGGGGGCTGGACTGGTGTCTGGGGGCTAGATTGGACTGGGGCCCGGACTGGAATGGTGCTCAACTGGACAGGGAGTTGGCCTGTCCTGAGGCTGGGCTGCATGGGGGATGGACTGAACTTGGGGCTGGACTACACTGGGCTGGAGCAGGATAGGCTGGACAGATCAGCACAGATCAGATCAAGTTCAGAAATGTGATGTTGTCTGTGATCTGCAGAACTAGGCAGAACCGGGTTGACAGGGGTGGCAGGTTGACAGATCAAGTTCACATCCTACATGTCCAACCAGCCCCGCCCTAGTCGCCGTCCCCGCCCGGCTCTGGACCGAACCTGACCCTGCCCGGTCCGGTCGTCGTCGCGGTCGCGATTCCTAATCCTGGGCCCTGGGCCACCGGCCCGGCCCCCACCCAACCCGGCCCGGCCGCCCCGCCCTAACTCGCCCCGCCCTACCGCGACGACCGAACCCGACCCTATCTGATCCGATCCGACCCAATTTTATCTCATCCTACCTGATCCGATACGATCTGATCCGAACCGATCCGAACCGATCTGACGTTGTCTGGGCCTCCCGCGGCCCTGCCAGTCGCTCTCGGTCCAGACGTACGGTTTACTGTGACAGTCCCGAGTATGTTTCGGGCGCCGGCTCGGCCCAACCCAAGGTAAGGCAGACCACGCTAAGCCGGGCCAAGCCAACCGAAGTCCAGCCAAGCCCATCCCGTGGGCCCGAGCTGATCAGTGGACGGCCAGCAGGTCGAGCGCTCGGCGGCGCTGATGATTGCAGCAGTCCGAGCAGGCAGCGCAACAGGAGGAGCGGCTGACATTCATGCTGGAGCGGGTGCTTGCTAGCCAGAAGCGACGGCCCAGCCACAGCCGAGAGCAGGAGCGGGGCTTTTTAAAGTGGAACAACTCCAGCTAGCTGCACAAACAACAAGCAACAAAACAACAAAACTGAACATAACATGTCAGTCCATAATTTGGTGTGTTCAGTTTAGCTGGAAACCATTAGCACAAGCCTTATTGAAATTTGCCATAATTTGAGGTGCAGTCTTTAATGTCCTGTTTCTTTCTATCGCTAGAAGCCTGGGGAGAGACCAGATTGGACTTGGGGATGCAAGTGAATCACTCAAGAATGGATTTGGACGCCCGTGACCATTGCAGATAATGAAGTTGCAAAATCCGCGGACAGATTTCTTATCCGCACCATAAGATCAGCAGCTTCTGCCCCGTAACACAATGCTGGCTGTCTGCAGCACTGCGCACGGCTGATGATGATCGCGGCTCGTGCGGTGGATGTCGGTATGGCCTCCACAGGTGTGGCCGGCCGCTGCCGGCTGTGCTGCGGCTTGACCCGCCGATGAATCGGATTCATTCTTCGCGATGGGCCTGGGTTGTTGACTGCTGACGTGCCTGCTCAAAACTGGTCAGGCTTGGCGAACGATCCCCCGAAGCGGGGCATTCATCATCCGCCGCGACACTGATCACTTAGTTTTGTATGAGCTCCGTGTAAAGATTCGCACTTCCACAGCTTGATTCAGCAGCCGGCGTGTTCCGGACAAATTGGAATTTACTTGGTTTTCTTTTTTTGTAAACCAGTCCCCTGTCGTGTGTCTCCTTAAAGTTATGCCTTATTTAGTTCAGCTCTGTCGGCCTGTCCTTTCCGGTCCCTTCCGAATGGTGGCTGGCTCCCGGATGGTGGGCGCCACGCCGAGGTCCTGCCACCGGTCGGAAGGGATCGGGGTAGTTCATGACCGAGCACGCCAGGGAAAGGACGTGC